TAAAAATACTATTAATTATAATTTATAATCCCAAATTCGATTGAATTTCACTATCTTTCAGTATACCATTGCATTTAATTAACAATAAATTAACAAATATTATTTATAATATTTTTTTATAATTTTTTTTAGATTATATAAAGTATAATTATTTATATTACAACTTACTTTTATCAAAAATATTAAAAATACTATTAATTATAATTTATAATCCCAAATTTGATTGAATTTCAGTGTCTCTCACTTTTCCATTACATTTAACTATCAATAAATTGTGAAATATTATTCAGACATATTTTATAAAATTTTTTTTTCGATCATAAATATAATTCTATTAAATATTACATTAATAAAAACAATTAAAAATAGTTAAACAATCATATAAAAATTTTTGAATGAGTCAGACACTTGTTACGCCGAACTATCTCTTGATATTCAAGAGAATATACTTCGAAGGAATGTGTTTAAACGTTTATTGGTATATGACGATATACATATATATATATATATATATAACATATATAAGACATAAAATCCATATTCAACGATTTGGGTATTTCCCATCTTCTATCTGAGCTGATTAATGTCAATTAAATTGCTTTCTGTGATAGTTCTACCTTCGCTCAGGATTACGCCACGTATTGGGTTGGTGTTGAGTCACCGAAGGTTACCGTTCTTAAACGATCCATCGATGTTTTAACATCGTCGACATCCTCCACGACCTTGAGAACAACTACACCGCCATATTATACTCCAAGGGACGATGACAAGGTAAACATTCTTTTTTTTTTATATTTTTTTTTTACAAATAAATTGCATTGAATTCAAAATTCATTCCATTGCATTGAATTCAAAATTCATTCCATTGCATTGAATTCAAAATTCATTTAATTGCATTGAATTCAAAATTCCTTTAATTGTATTATTATTATTATTATTTTTTATTGAAAATATTTGTGTCGTATTTTAATCTTTCAATATTATTTCATCTTTAACGCTAAATTTACGGATATATTGTTTATTCAAAATAATTGTCGTATATTTTAATTATTAAATTAATAAATTAAATAACAAAATTCAAAAAAATAATATAAAAAGTATCGGTTAGTTCTGTTACACGAAAACCTGAAAAAACAAATCGTACGACGTGAAGTATATCAAATTAATTGAATTGTAATACATTGCCATCTATTGAAAATTTACATAAACTAAAATCTTAGATAACCTTTAAATCCGTCCGTAAATTTAATGTTAATACTAATTATTTAATTAATAATTATCATATAAAAATAACAGTGATAATAATAACAATTACATTAAACGCTATTATAAATAATTTGAAGTAGTATTTAACATTAAAAAAACACGAGAGTTTAAGTTAAAATCGTTTTAAGAGTGTCTTAGGGGAATCCAAGTATCTTCTCCACCATTTTGCAATTTTATACTTTCCAGTGATAGTCCCAGAGCGTATAACAAACGAGAAAATATAAAATGAAAGTGATGAGTTAAAATGAAATAACAACGAAAGTGAGAAAGAGAAAGAGAAAGAGAAAGAGAAAGACAAAATACCGAGGTATCATCAACAATTCTGGATTTATAATGTCTACATATACTTATTTTCAATTTGCATCGTATCTTGAGAGAATAAAAAGGGTGGGGGGGATGGGATGGGTAGAGTGGGGAGTAGAGAGTAGAGGGTGGGGGTAGTGGAAGATAGGCTATTTGCGCTTGCATAATTTATGTCGATGTTTTATCTACTACGTTCTTTTGTTATTATTATTATTATTATTATTATCTTTTAACGTTAGTATCTTTTCCCCTTCTTCCCTTTTTCATCCCCACTCCTCATTGTGTTTATCTTTCGTTTAGCTTTCATGCTATACTTTATTATTATTCTATCCTTTCTCACCCACATTTCCTATTTTAGTTTTAGTAAGAGATGGAGGATTTCAACGAAGTAGATGTATAAAACAGTTTGTACTATCTTACATATATATATATATGTATGTATATGTAAATGTATATGTATATGTATATATATGTAGTATAAAGTTTGCCGATTGTCTCTTTGGGTTTATCCAACGTTCTAATCCGTTCATGCGAATGCATTCACTTCAATCAGCTGATCCTAACTAAAGTCTAAGATTAACTTGAAGACTTTATTATTAAGTTTGTAAGAGAGAATATTATTTGTTCAAGATGATGATTATTATTATTTTGATAATAATGATGATGAGGATGATAGTGAGGATGATAGTGAGATGAAATAATGCTTATCTATGTTTGCTTTTATTATGACTATTGTAAAATAATTATAGATAAGATTTGGTAATTTATTTTAGAAACATTTCAGAGTATTTAAATATGAATTTTGAAAAAGAAAAAAAAATATATAGTTCAATAGATTTTTTAATAATAATATTAATGATGCATGGTGCTGGTAGGACGTTGCATGTTTTATCCAAAATTAAAATGAAATATTTAATTAGGTTTGTTTTAGAATTAGAATTAGCATACTTTTGGTAGTTTTTAAACAATTTAATTAATTTGCAGTGATATTATTTATTTATATGATATTTTTATTATATTTTATATTTATTTATATTATATTTTGTATTAACTGGATCATCATATTTTTATATTTTCAATTACTTTAATTAGTTTCCAATGATATTATTTATTTATACGATATTTTTATTACATTTTATATTCATTTATATTATATTTAATTATAATTTTATAATATTTAATATTATATTACAATATATTTTATATTAACTGAATAAGAGTTTCAAGTACAATACAGTAATAATTTAATTTATTGATGAATATCTTACAGGGTGGTAATTAAATTATGCATACGAGACAAAAAATATTTTAATTTTTAAATAATAATAATAATAATAATAAAAATGATGCATGAACTGATAATACGTTGCATGTTTTATAAAAAAAAAAAAAAGAAAATAAATGAATAATTAAATTACATTTTTTTTATCTTCGAATTAGGATCATCATATTTGTTGTATTTTTCAATCACTTTAATTAGTTTTGAATGTTATTATATCATTTAAATATATTTACTGAATAAGGTTCAAGGATAATAATATGGATTTATTGATGAATGTTTTATAGGATGTTAATCAAGACGATCCTTTCTATGAAGGATGCAGTGAAACAAAGAATTGTTTCGGATTACCTGATGGTTGTCTACAAACAAAGAATTGTAAAATTGCTGTATCTGTATTAGTCCGTGGAGACCGATATCTTTTCGAGATGCAAGCTAGAGAAGGAAAATATGTTGCAGTTGGACTCTCTGAAAATAATAAAATGGTAATTGCAATTGATTTTAAACAAAAAAAAAAAAAAAATAGAACAAACAAAAATTAAAAAACAAAACAAAAACAGAAATAAGAACAGCATCAAATTTGTTTGGCAATTTCGATTTGCATTGATTTAAATATTGCAATTTGTTTTAGGATAAAACAAAACCACCCACACATACACACAAATCCTTGAAATTAATTTTAAACAAGAGAGAAAAATACAAAAATAGGCACATCATCGAATTTCAGATTCAATTTCTTTTATTTTTAATTTTTCGTTATTGTTCCATTGCAATTTGTTTTGAGATAAAAAAAACCACACACACAGTAATTTATCACACATACACACAAATCCTTGAAATTGATTTTAAACAAAAAAGAAACACAAAATTAGATAAATCATCAAATTGCATATTTAATTTTTCGTTATTGTTCCATTGCAATTTATTTTGTGATAGACAACTACACACCCACGTACACACAAATCCTTGAAATTGATTTTAAACAAAAAAGAAAAATACAAAAATAGGCACATCATTAAATTTCATATTTAATATCTTTTTATTTTAATTTTTCGTTATTGTTCAATTGCAATTTATTTTGGGATTAAAAAACCACACACACGTACACACAAACCTTTGAAATTGATTTTAAACAAACAACAAAATTGGAAGCATCAATTTCATATTTAATTTTTCGTTATTGTTCCATTGCAATTTATTTTGAGATAAAAAGACCACATACACACACATACATAAACATGTCTCACAAAGCCTTGAAATTCATTTTAAATAAAAATAAAAAAAAAAAAAAAAAAAGCAAAAAATAGGAAGATCATCAATTTCATTTTGAATTTTTTGTTTTTGGTCACAAATGTCTAAGCAAAAAACAAATTGCAGCAGTTGTTTTTTTTTTTTAATTTTATTTTTATTTTCTTTAGTTTTGTTTTATTTTGTTAAAATTGTAGGATGACGACAGTGTGGTGGAATGTACAAACGATGGAAGTGATATCAAATTATACACGTCATGGAATACTCCTAACAAGCGTAACGAGCGACACAGCTTGGTAATTATTTTACCATAATTAATAGTCTTCATTAGATCCCTTGGCGTTAAATTAATATCCCCCGAAATCAATAATTCCTCTTAAATTCATTTCATCAGTGTTTTTTTTTTTTTTTGTAATCTACCACACACATTATTATTATTATTATTATCATTACAAACACGTTATTTTTGTGTTACACGTTTTTTGTTTGTTCTTTGGTTTTCTTTGAATTATTTCTTTTACAGCAACAAGGTTCAGTACAATTGGAATCGGCTATGTTAAACGAGGATCAAATAAATTGTAAATTTTGGAGAGACAAGATAACTGTAGCTCAAGGTCACAAATTTGATCTTGTCAATAAGCCATATTATCTTTTGTTAGCTCATGGCAGCGAGCTCAGAGGTATAATTATTCTATTTTTTTTATTTTATACAGTACTTTACATGCTGTTCACCATTTTACACGACACAAATATACATATATATATATTAGGATGAGAAAAATTCGTGTCAGTATTTTTTCTTTTAATTATCAATTAAATTATTAAGTAATTATAATAATAAATATATATATAAATTACGTGTCACGTTGTTTGTCCGCAATGTACTCTTAAACTACTGAACTGATTTTAATCAAATTTTGCACACTGTGTGCAGTTTTATCCAACTTGAAAGATAGGATAGTTTATATCTCAATTTATAATTGCAATTGACTTAAAGACGTGTGTATTGGACTGATTGTGAGCCACAGCAACGCGTGGCGGGGCACCCCCAGTTATATATAATTATTATTTTATTATATTAATTAATAATATAAATAATTAAATATAACATAATTTAATAAAAATAATAAAAATAAAAGAAAAATAACAAACAAATAATTAAATAATTTATAATTAATAAAACAATCAATTATTATGCAATTTCAATGCACTAAAATGAAATGAACTTTAGTTTCATCCTAATATTAAACACCAGTGTGTGTATGTGTGTATGTGTTTCGTTAATTCTTAAAAGTTTTGGTTATTTTTACACGTTAGGTATATCAATGTGAGTGAACTTTGTTTGTATGTATGGTGTATATTATGCTTTACTTTGTATTATTGTTGTTGTTGTTGTTGTTGTTCTGTTGTAGCCAACGGTATTGGATATCACGACCTAGTTCGTGATTCTACAGGCGAAGCAAAATTGTTGTCTGACGTTGGTTCATTCACGGTGTCTAATAACATGTTGATTCATATTCATGGTTCCTTAATGATCGTAGCATGGATGGGTACAACTTCCATTGCTATACTTTTAGCAAGATATTACAAACAAACTTGGGTACATTCGAAAATGTGCGGAAAAGATCATTGGTTTGCCGTAAGTTTATTTTATTATTTTATTATTTCTACAATAATTCACGAACTTTTGATTTTATTTAATTAGTTGAACAATTCCTACGATTATTTCTATGAATGAAATACGTTCATTCATCAATGCAAATCATTGATGTGCATTAATGGGATACACGAATTAATATTTTATTTAATAATAATTAAAATATTAATTAAATTTAATTAATTAATTATGCTATTAGTATTAGGGTGTATTAAAAGTTCGTGCATTTATTTTGTTACAAATTGTTTTATAATTAAAATAATTATTATTTACTATAACAATATTAATCAAATTAAAACATATTACCTTTAATTACACCCTAATAATATAAAACTACTACGTAAAATTATAAATATTATTTGTAAAATAATTTTAATCAATACAATTTGCATCAATGAATGAAAAATGAAATCAAAAGTCCAATTACTGTTTTATAATTAAAATAATAATTATCTATTTACCAATTATATTTATAAAAATGAAACAACTTTTGTTACACCCTATTAATTTTACGAATAAATTTTTTATCTTATTATTATTATTATTATTTTTTTTTTTTTCCGAATAAATCGAAGTTTCACGTATATGAAATAGGTGAAATTTTGAATATATAAATTTTTATTTTTTCATAGTGGCACACCTTCTTGAATAGCATTACCTGTATACTGACATTGATTGCTATCGTCGTTATATTCGTCGAACTAGGCACGTGGAGTACAGAAACTTTCCACGCTTCTTTGGGATTGGCTACTACTATTTTATGTTTCATACAACCATTCATAGCAGCTATGAGGCCCGAACCTGGTGCACCGAGGCGTCAACTTTTCAATTGGACACACTGGTTCATCGGCAATGCTGCACAGATTTGCGCAAGTAAGTTTTCAATTGAAATTCGTTTTACCTAAGCCATTAACTACTTCCCTTTCCCCCTCTCCATCAGCCACTTCCCCTTCCCTAACTTCTTCTTCTCCCACCACTTGTCTCAACTTTCTCGAAACTATCAGCAAATTCTCTCCCCACTCTCAAACCCCTCCCCACCCCCCACTCTCTCTCTCACCGCATTCTCAACCACTTTGCGTTTAATCTTTTATATTTAATTTGCTTTTTGGTTTTTTGTTTTTGTTTTTGGGTTCATTGAATAAACTGTTGATTGGAATATTGGATAAATTTTTGTTATTTTTCGCAGTCGTCGCATTATTTTTTGCCGTACGATTGAGCAAAGCCAAACTTCCGGAATGGGTTGATTGGATTTTGGTGGCTTATGTCATTTTTCACGTATTAACTCACGTGATATTAACCGTAAGTAAATTAAATAAACAAAATATTTATGCAGAACAAAAATTACTAAAAGATAATATAATAATATGTCTTATATGGGGTGTCAAAAAAATAATAATTAGGATTTGTGAAATGTTAGGAATAAATTTAAAAATACATCAAACTAATTTGGTTATAAATAAAATTTAGGAAAAGATTTAATAATATGTCTTATATGGGGTGTCAAAAAAATAGTAATTAGGATTTGTGAAATGTGTACAATAAATTTAAAAATAAATCAAACTAATTTGGTTATAAATAAAATTTAGGAAAAGGTATGATACTATGTCTTATATAGGGTGTCACGAGAGTAATAATAACAGTTTACTAAATTTATAAAATAAATTGTGTAGTAAATGAAATGAATTTGGTTATAAACAAAAATAACAAAAGATAATTTAGTTTTATATAGGGTATCACGAAAATAATAATAATAAGTGTTTACTAAGCTTATAAAATAAATTGAAATAAATGAAATTAATTTGGTTGAACAAAAATAATAAAAAAATAATATATCTTATATAGGGTGTCAAAGAGGAATAATTAGAGTTTGCTAAACGTGTACAATAAAATTTGAATGAATGAAACAAATTTACAAAAAAAAAAAATACTGTCGAACAATACACTCGTGAAATGTAATTTTTCTTGAATTATTTTTAGTTCTGTTTGTTTTTGATTTCTTGTTCTTTTTAGTGTGTTTAAATTGTCAAGTTGTGTAATAATTATTCTTTCAGTTCCTCGGTTATGCACCAGAGAGAGAATCCTCCCAAAGAGGGGATTCATTTCCCATGAAGGACATGAGTCCACGTGGACAAATGACAAGCTCGGATACGAGAATGGAAGCACCCGTAAGATCATTATTATTATTTTTTTTTTTTTAAATAAAAAAACAAAAACAACGATATTTTGTTTAGAATTTATATTGCGAATGAAATAATTTGTCATAGAGTGTTAACATTTTTCTTTCGTTCGTTTTTTTTTTTCTTTTCTTCTCACTCACTCACTCATTTTTTTTTTCTTTCATTATGTTTCAGCGAGCTGGTTTGAGAAAACTCATTTTAGGCATCTACGTCGTAGTAATCATCGTTTTTCTCGCAATTTTCATTACCTTCGTTGTACTAGCACCCATCGAAGAAACTTGGTCGTCCATTAAAAATACCATCTCGAGTTATTGAACCTATTTTTCGAATAAAAAAAAAAACGAAAATGAAAAAAAAAGAAAAATGAGATCATCGTCAAATTCAAACGTCCCAAAGATAATTTATTACATCTTTTCTCTACCACCACCACCCCCAAC